GTAAGAGAAGTCAAGATGCACAAAAATGTTCTTAACCACCAAAATCTGCTCTTAACCAGGTGTGCTAAAAGATTAATCCAACTTGATCATAAGTAACCTATTAGCTTAAGTAACGACCCTCAGCACAATATAATGGGCCAGTGTTGTGCAAATACTCTGGCACATGCCCCAGAATTGGAGAGATGCCACCAAAAAGGCTGTAAGAAGGCGAACTTCTGCAGCAGTGAAATCAAAGTGCTGTTAAATAAACCTAAACAACTTATCCATGTTATTTGTGAATGTCAGTATTGGCATTACAGGAAAACCAAAAGCCCAGCAATGGCAAAACATATGTGATGATGTAAATGCAGAATCAGCAGCAAAGGTGAAGGAAGTATCCTTCACTGAAGTACTAATACCATAATGTAAAAACACTCTAGTACTAGTTAAAGTCCTGATGAAAAGTATGTAAGTACAATCAGGAAAGTATATTTAAGTATTAAAAGTAAAAGTACAAAATGCAGAAAATTTAAATATTTTAATAAACCAAACATGATTAAAAAAATGAAAAGGAAAGGCAGCAAATCCTATTGATGCTGGAACCATCAAATGTTTTTGTATGAAAAATGTCTTATCAAAAGAGTTGCCAAATAATTTAGTAGTCAAGCAACTTATCATTTTAGCTGCATTTATATATTTTCACATTGTTTGTGCAGTAAAAAAACATTAATTTGTAGTTCATGCATTTTTTTATGTTCATGAAATTTAAACTTGTGTTTCCTTGGGTTGGACAAACCATTTGTGGACGGTGAAATAGATGTTTTTCTTTTATCTTGGCCAAGAGTGCTTTTGACCACTTGTAAGATTGTCTTTTACCTAAGGGAGGAGCAAAAATAAGAAAATATTAATGAACCGCAGAAATGAATGGATATTTACAAAATAAGGGCAAATGGGGGATATAAACAAAAATAAGAGAAAACTTATTCATGCATCACCTCCAGCATGAGGCTTATTGTTTTGCTTTTTGCTCCAGTCTTGTAAAAATGACTTCTTGGAGATACCTTCAACCCAACTCAAGGCTCCTGTATCCCTGTGAGGTAACATGTGTGATGCATGTGAGTTTTTGTTAGTCAGTGAGTTACCACAGCACCCTCCTCTCCCCACCTCTCACCCCCCTCACTGTGCACCATGTATGAGATCAGGCCCCTGAATGAGTATTCATCCTGGGTGACCGGGTGTCCTGGATAGTAATCGACTGTTCCCCAAGCTAGAGCACAGAGTACTCAGTGGCAGCCTGCATACAGCTCATAACTATGCTTAGCCACAGTGATACCAGCAACAGTGGGACACAGAGCACAGGTGAGTGAAGACCAGCACTGGCGCTCAACCAGCCCACTTACAGCAAAGCTGATATACTTTCATCACTGTTGAGAGTATTACTTTTCTATTTCATGCCCACTTGGTAAGTTGGCAGACTTTTTGTTGCAGGTTTAATTTGGGTTCTGAAATGCGGCTGTTAAAGTTTACATGCTCTAATAACCCAAAGTAAGGTAATTTCTAGGTAATGAGGTGTGTGCATGCATGTGAGAGTGAATGTGTGTGTGATAACATTTGCAGTGCTACTTTGCGTGCAATAATTGCCCCAGGCACTGCGCTCATCTCTGCTTGATTCTCTCCTTCAAAAGCAGAAGTTAATGAGAGTAAAATCTAATTATAAGCCTGTTTATCACCTTGACTTTGCTTTGTCGGTCTGTTCTGCATTTGGCCTTTCACTGCAGCTTCACTGCATGAGTTGTGTTTCTGAAGTTTACTGCGACGTGGAGATTATTAAGATGTTTCAATTATAATTAATAGTGACAGTTCAAAGCCGACTGAAAATTGAAAAAGGACTGCCGTGGAAAAAAAGTGGAACAGAAAATTATTTACTGCTTTCATGAATTACTGCAAAGGCAATGGTGCTGGGCTGTTATTTTTATTTCAGTTATGCCACACATTACACAATCTTTGAAACTTTTTATTAGCTACAATGATTACAAATAGTTTGTTTCTAACAAACTACTTTATTTTATTTTTAATGGGAATTGGTGATGCTGTTTATTGTATGACTGATTATAGTTTTTTATCCATCAGACTATTCATCTCTAAAGACATCTTGCATATGAACGGTATACAAATTAATGCCACCTATGACACTATTTTACCAACTACCACATGTGAAAGAACCATTATGGCTGCAAATATGAATCTTTTTGATCATAGATCCATTGTCCATAGTCCAGCTAAGTCATCTGTAATGTAAATTAAAAATGACACAGCATTTGAAACTGTAAATTATACATTTTAGTAATTCTAAAATGTTTAAGGCTGTGACAGTAAATAAGCACCGTCTTAAAAAGTCCCAGTGTGTCGATTCAGTGGACTCTAGCTGTGAGGTTGCCGGACTGAAACTTCTTTGTGCCAACCTATGAGTAGCTATCCACCTTATTTTCAAACACGGAAGTAAATTGTGATCAACTTCCGTTTTTTGTGCGTGACTTCTGGTCAGCCGCTTTCCCTCATGCTTTCCCTTACCGGAGCTAACGGTGCAAGCTAATTTTTTTTCAATTTTCAGTTGTTTATGTTAGTAAATCAGTTAGTTAGTTAGTTAGTTAGTCTGTGTAAAATAACTGTGCCCACGTTTCCGTTATAACGGAAATTTATTCCCTCTAAACGCGAATAAATCGCACGTCAATCATAAACTATGAACCAAAAAAGCACAATCTATCCCGAGTGAGACAAACTGCTTGATCCCCGTCTCCAGTGTACCAGCAGAGAACCTGCAGAACCGAATCAGCGAAAAAACACACCGGGCTACACAGCCTCTCTACCTGAGCAGCTGAAGCTGCGGCTCGCACCCTCGACACACAGACAGACGGTGCTTCTGCATGCCAGCCACACGTGTGCGCAACTGTGAGAAATAAATATGTGAGGTGTACGCCGCTTTTCTATCTTTTTTCCCTTTTCTTTCTTTCTTTCTGTCAGCGACATACACTCCTAACACAGAACGGGTTGTTTTAATTGACTGAGTTGATCATTAAGCCATAGTGATGCGCGGATCGGCTCTGATAACACCTGAATCAGCATGTACGCATCAACCATCCAGCCGTTACAACATGATTGAGCTAGCAAAGCAGTTTTGTGTTGCTATGTGTGGTATTTATTCAGTTTTGGGAAATCACGATGTCTAGAAAGCATCAGTGGCTGCAGCTGACAGGGACAGCTAACGTTAACACTAGCAGCAAAGCTAACATCAGGATCGTCATCCGTTAAAAGCCTCCCGTTGTCGGATACGACATGAAACTACTCCAATTCGCTCAATCATGTTGTAACTAAGACATCCGCTGGAGAAAATATTTTTTTCACGGGCCACTTTGTGAGTTTAGTGAGTTATTACAGACACGGCTAACAGCTAACGGTTAGCCCAGCTAATCTACGATAACCATGTTATTAATTACACACAGAGAAAATACTAATGTTTGTTCAGGCATTGTGTTTCTAGACTTTACAAACATCAGATTAGTCTAAACGGTGATATAGTGACGTGAAAAATGTGATATATACATATATATAGCTAAACTCAGCAAGGTAAACAACAAGGGGATTCCCATTTACACAGTGGAAAGAGTGCTGGACCGGAAGTGTCGCACAAAAAAACGGAAGCTGGCTACGTTCTGTTTTGCCTCCGTGTTTCCGTGAAAAATAAGGTGGATAGGCTGCAGCGGGAGCAGCTTTGTGACCTGCCCAATAGTTACATGACTTGTCCACCCTACCTACACGTTAGCTTACGGTCAGCCCCCTTCACCTCGAATGGAAATGCTAACTTAGCAACTAGCTAGCTATGAAGTATTTGGTCAAAAGAGAGGTGGTAAAGGTTAGTGTGACAAAGGGTTACATCTAGCTACTTATAAAGTGAATTGTGTCTTCATGCATTCTAAACGGTAAAGTGGATTATTGCTACGTTTGGCCTCATATTTATTCACTACAACATTGCATTGTAACAATACTGCAGTGCAATTGTACAATTGTGGCTTTGTAGTAGTGTGGTGGGCGCCATTTGTAGCGGCATGTCATGTACACTACAAACAGAATGTATCTGCAGTTATACATGTGTCCAAATTTGTGAATCCTAGGATAGCAAAGGAATAACCCGCCCTTCGCTCCCTATGATTAGCTAGTACTTGTTTCTTTTGTTGGTTCGATTGATTAGGGCTAGGGTTAGGGTTATGTTACGAATGTCAGGGCAAGCCAATCAGAGGCAGAGTAAGGTGAGCCATTCCTTTGCTTTGCTAGCCTAGGATTCACAAATTTGCATACCAGGCATACAAGAACTAAGGTGGCCAACGTGGAAACATGAAAACCCAAAAATGCGAATGGCCCTATCAAGACTCAGTATGTGGTTTGTCCATTCTGGGCTACTGGACTTTATGGGAGAAGACCTGCTCGCAAATTTGTAAATCGTAGGATAGAGAGGGAATGACCCACCCTATTCTCCCTCTGATTGGCTAGCACTCCTTGCCCTTGATGGTTGGATTGGTTAGGGTTAGGGTAAGAATGTCAGGGTTAGCCAATAAGATGCAAAATAAGGCAGAGTGCTATCCAATGATTCTAAAATTCGAGACCCACTCCATATGTAGATATAAACGGCTCATTCTAAGGTGATGAAAACACAACTATTCTTATTTTCAGGTGATTATAGACTAATAAAAACATTGTTATATATCATTTCTGCCAATAGATGCCCTTAAATCCTGCACACTGGACTGATAGGGTGATGTAGATATTATTGAAGGTATTACAAATTTTGAGAGAAATCAGAAAAGCACACTGATTTAATGTTGCAGTTTATTTGTTACTAGGATGCTCCCAATATCTTAGGGAAACAAATATTTGTTCAGCCCCATAGCTCAATTTGTTGGCTCGCCAGAAAAGCAACTTTGTTGTCATTGTTTACCTTAAGCCTTTTTTCTCTCTTTCTCAAACAGGACATGGGAATCATAAAGAAGACAGTCCATTTCTCAACAGTGCTGATGCTGCCAGCAAGAAAAATGACTTCTATGACAGGAACTTGGCATTGTTTGAGGTCCGTCAATTGCATGTTCCAGTATTTCAGATGATAACCTTATACCAAACTCAGTCATTTAACTTTTACCCCATATCGCTCCAGGAAGAGCTGGACATCCGGCCTAAGGTTTCCTCTCTGCTCAGCCGCTTGGTCAGCTACACCAACATCAGCCAGGGAGCCAAGGAGCATGAGGAGGAGGAGAGTGCTGAAGCCTCACGTAGGAAGACCCCCAAGGTCAGTCATTGTGGGCACAGCTGAAGAACACTATGCCTCACTGTTTTTTTTTCTTACTCACGCATACACTCAGTCTTTGGAGGTCTAGAAACATTATCCTCCACCTTTGGCTCTCTCCCTGCCTCGCTATCCAAGTTTTAGTTTTGTATTAAGAGTTGCTGATTGATTGTTTATGCCTTTGCACGCTCTGCAGTCAGACTGTGGGGCTGTGTTAGACCCGAATACATGCAAAGAGCTGATAACATGATTGAATGACCTTTAAAAAGTACATCAATCAATACAAATGATCAATACACTTGTTTCCTGAAATGTCACAGTCAATATTCTCCTCTTTCTCTCTATTAGTCTCCCAACATGGGCACTCTGATGGGAGTCTACTTGCCGTGCCTGCAGAACATCTTTGGTGTCATTCTTTTCCTACGACTGACATGGATCGTTGGGATGGCTGGCATCATGCAGTCCCTCCTGATTGTCCTCATGTGCTGCTCGTGTGTTAGTATGAGCACACACACAGACTGTACTGTACACAGACACACACGCTATTACCCAACGATGTGGGCCAGCTTCTATTGCTAAGCCAGTCAATAAAATCCTTGTGGTTACATAAGAAGCAGGAATTATTTAAGGCAAAGAATCGCTCTCACTTGTGTTTCTTATTAAGTATGCTTCCACTACCTTTCTTAAACAACAAATACTGTCATCATAAACTTCCAAGCTACATATGCTAAATGTAAAGGAATATATTCTCTCAGATGGAAGCTTTGTTCACCTTTACCTATGTATTTGATCACTGGATATTAACAGAACGCCCACAAATTGCCATGATAGCTGTGTGTGTCCTTTTCCATATTAATTTTATTTTCTCATTTCCTCCGCAGACAATGCTCACAGCCATATCAATGAGTGCCATTGCTACTAATGGGGTTGTCCCAGGTAATACTGAAAACCTTGTTTTCAAGTCCCTCTTCATACTGTACATTTATCCAGCACATATCCTTCACCAGTACTATGAATACTTATGTAGCATTTCTTTTAAAAATAGTTAGAACTGAATTGGCATTATTAGGACATAAACCAATTTTCAAATAATTACTACCCTGAATAGATAGAAGTAAAAATTCCCATTAAATATTCTTCCACTTGGGGGCAGCAGAAATTTACTGTCGTGTTCACTGCATACAGACTGTGAACTTTCCTGTAGTTTTCTGTGTGTAACACTTCGTTTTCCTGTTGTAGCTGGAGGGGCATACTTCATGATCTCCCGCTCCCTTGGCCCTGAGTTTGGAGGAGCTGTGGGTCTGTGCTTCTACTTGGGCACCACCTTTGCTTCTGCCATGTACATACTGGGGGCCATCGAAATCTTCTTGGTAGGTTTGCAAAAAACATTATTCTGTGGTTATATCCCAACTTGCATTTGTATGCTGAGACACTGTATGATTCCTAAACACCATCCGCCATTACATGCTCCTGCTGTCATTTTTTTCTTCCTCAGAAATATCTGGTGCCCCAGGCGGCCATCTTTCATGCCACAGACCCCCTGGGGAGTGACAGTGCCATGCTGAACAATATGCGAGTCTACGGCTCTATCTGCCTCAGCCTGATGGCTGTGGTGGTCTTTGTCGGAGTCAAATATGTCAACAAGCTGGCCTCTCTTTTCCTGGCCTGCGTCATTATCTCAATTGTATCCATCTATGCTGGGGCACTCAAATCCATGACTCATCCCCCAGAATTCCCGTAAGTGTGCAGGGCTAGAATAAACATGTGTCTGAACTGAAAGTAGTGTGAATTATGGGGACCTTAATATAGATACAGTAGTTTTTTTTATGGGAGAGAGAGTCCTAATTTAGTGTGGTGTTCATTCCACATGGAAAATTATACATGTTTATCTTTTACTTTTATTATATTGTTATGATACTGGCTCCCATCTGCCACCTATTACTCGCAGTGTGATTTTTCAGTTGAATAGTTTGTAATTCACCTACTAATAGTTGAATTAACTTCTGGTTATTATGGTAAATGAGATGTATATAATGAGGACCAGGACTATGATGATGATGGTGGAAATAATGACGACTAACACAGTGATTATTTTATTTGTGTCCATGTTATCGCTGTAGGATCTGCATGCTGGGAAACAGGACTTTGGTGAGAGATCGCTTCGATGTGTGTGCTAAGACTGTGACAAAGGGCAACGTCACAGTGCCCAGTCAGCTGTGGGAAAGATTTTGTCTGCCGGGGAACATGAGCAGCGCTCAGTGTGATGACTACTTCCTCCAGAACAATGTGACGGAGATACAGGGCATCCCTGGACTGGGCAGTGGGATTATTCGGGGTAAATTTATCATTAGTTGACCGGGGATTAAAGGATACACCATGAAAATTTGTGATTAAGTTACTGTTCCAAGTATATAGATCATTAACACAGACATACTGATTAGCAGGTAGAATACAGTGTAAGTGTACCCATTCAAGGACAATTTGCATTCTAAACACTATGCCATAATTTTAAAGACATTTTAGAATCAGTAGGTTTTCAATCAGAATATTATAACACTATATTTTGAATGTCCTGCGTCATCATGAATTGCACACAGGTCTGATAGAAAGACACAGTCTTAGTTTGTTACCAATGATTTGAATGTCTGCTCTCTGTTGTTACAGAAAACATGTGGGGCGACTACCAACAGAAAGGGGAGATCTTAGAGAAAGCGGGGCTACCATCTGGGGATGCCCACAGTGCCATGGAGAACTTTGGCATGTATGTGTCAGCAGATATCGCTACATCATTCACACTTTTGGTGGGGATCTTCTTCCCATCTGCCACAGGTATAACAATGTTATAAACCAGAAAGCTTAAGCTCTCTGTTATGTTGTCTTACAGAACGAGTACACCATGCTTTGCAGATGCAACAAAATAGAAAAGTTTTAAACCTCCCTCCAATCCAGCCAGTAGGGGGCATTATTAAACAGCTTTTACATGTCCCCTGTGTCTATCAGCTGTCTGTTCTTTCTTGAAGGTATCATGGCAGGCTCCAACAGATCTGGTGATCTTCGTGATGCTCAGAAGTCTATTCCTGTGGGAACTATCTTAGCCATAACCACTACTTCACTTGTTTGTATCCTTATTTTGGAGATTACACACAACAAAACTAACAATCCTACTCCGTCAAACAGGATTTAAAAGATTTTATATTCATGTCTGTGTCATCTCAAGCTCCTTGACCTGTTGTATTCAGATTTAAGTTCTGTGGTCCTGTTTGGGTCATGTATCGAAGGAGTAGTCCTGAGGGACAAGTGAGTTCATTTTTGTCCTATTTAAGTTAGTATGTTAAAACACTGTTTGTTAAGTTAAATTTGACAACAGGGAAAAAAGATAACTTTAACATAAAAGTCAAGTCATGTTCAGTTGGCATGTGCTCGCAGGTTTGGGGACGCTGTTCGAAAAAACTTGGTGGTGGGAACGCTCTCCTGGCCGTCTCCATGGGTTATTGTCATTGGCTCCTTCTTCTCTACAGTCGGGGCGGGCCTGCAGTCCCTCACTGGGGCTCCCCGACTTCTGCAGGCTATTGCCAAGGACAACATCATTCCTTTCCTCAGGGTGGGAGAGTACACACTGTTAATGACACATTGTGTAATCAGTTCACATTCTCTGACAAAATGCCATCACTGCAAGCAACAGAAATGGATGCTACAGACCTAGCTGACATACAGTCATTGTCTGTTTGTCATTATTTATAAGCTTGATCATTTGAATATTCAGAAGTAACCTCTAAATCACATTCAGTATGTTGAGCTGGAAATGTTTGCTAACATTTGACTTGCAAGCTTATTTGAATATGTCGCAGTACCAGACAAGAAGTGATTTGCATTGTTACGTGTAAAGGTTTTGAATTTTTTGTTTTAGGTGTTTGGTCATGGAAAGACCAACGGAGAGCCAACATGGGCCCTACTACTGACTGGTCTCATTGCTGAGCTGGGCATCCTTATTGCCTCACTGGATATGGTGGCTCCTATCCTTTCCATGTGAGCATAAATATGACTTAAGCCAAATACATATTGCACACACATCACACATTAATTTCTCTCATACATGCTATACATGAATTTCTTGATTTCCCTGTTTGGTTAAGGCCAACTACACTACACCACTGATGATTTATTATCCACTTCAAATGAACTGAAAATGATCCTGTCTTTATTCAACAGGTTCTTCTTGATGTGCTATCTTTTCGTGAACTTAGCCTGTGCAGTTCAGACTCTTTTACGCACACCCAACTGGAGGCCAAGGTTCAAATATTACCACTGGTGAGTACAGGTAGATCCACCATTTTAGCATGCCCATTTTAGCATGCCCATGACCTCTTAAAGCTTTCAACTTCATTGCTGACCCTAGCTAACGTGTTCGTATGACACAATTTCTAACATAGGTTCCTTCCATTTTTAAAAATCTGGAGGTGATGTACTCTTCCAGAATTTGAGGATCATTTGAACAGCTGACATGACCCCTACATTTATCACAACAAGGTCACTTTTGGCAATTCTGTGTGGTCCCTCATAAGGCATAATTTTGGTGATTTAGATACCGTTGTACCCAAGCACTCCTCTATGTGATCCACAACTTTTTCCCAAAATGGGCTGTAAAGCTTGGAAGAAGTGAAGTAAAACCTATTATTAATTAATAGTGAGTAAATTTCCCTCTTGCCTCCTTTATATTTTTCCCAGAATTTGACAGTATTGTCACCCATTCCTCATTGCTTAATTCACACCCTAGGTTCTTCTGCCAAATGATCCCCAGATTTTTACAAATATCTTTTGGTAACCCACTAAATATTTTCTAGAACATAGCTGCCCTGTGTGTTACACCAGGTAGTTCAAAAAAAAAAAAAGTAATACTGGGTTCTTATCCTGAATGAATTTGTGATACAACCTCTGATTTGAAGATACTTTCAAAAATTACCTTTTATACTCCAGATTGTATTTTTTTAGCTGCATCTAAGTACAGTTCACTTATCTTGTGAATCCCTTTTATAAGCCACTGATTCCAGTAAGCACATTGTTTCCTATTAAGTATGGCTGGGTTATGTCACAAAGAGGCATGTGATTGTCTTAAGTGAGACACATCGCACATCCTGTGTATTTCTCGCCTGACTGCTTTAGAATGAGCCAGCACTGGGTTTAAAGAGTCAGCATGTCTGACAGTCTTTAAACCATGTATAAGGACATCCAAAGGTTTGAAGGGACTGGTTAACTCAGGTTCAATTTTGATCCAGCTCAGTTCTGAATCCATTCTCTTCCAGTGCATATTCAGTCTAGACATTTTAATTGGTAGATTGTACAGTCTTGCACTGGGGAGGCCTAAACCTCCTATGTCCCTTGGTGACCACATTTTCCTTCTGTTGATCCTTGGTCTCCCCCTGTCCCTATCCACCATATTTCTTACACTTTATTTTTCCCTTCCCGACATTCTTGGCTGTCTCAGTCGTTCAAATCACCAAATTTTTATTTACAAGACCACCTTGTGGTTTACACTACAGTTACCCTCATGGACACTACAATGATGTTGCTGTTCTTGGTATGCAAAAACATAACTTGATACTTTATGTGTCACAACCACAGGGCTCTGTCCTTCCTTGGCATGAGTATGTGTCTGGCTCTAATGTTCATCTCCTCCTGGTACTATGCTATAGTGGCCATGGGCATCGCTGGGATGATCTACAAGTACATTGAGTACCAGGGGTATGTCTGGAGTCTAATTAGCCTGTGCACTTTTGTTTTGCAGTCCTAGTAGAGTGCATTCTTTTATGGTATGCGGGGGCTGGTTGTGTCTCTGTGTTTCCATCTGATCTTGGCATATCTGTAGTGAATACTGGTGAACAGTACTTCACTTGAATTGTGTGCCTCATGTTGGGTCTTGTCTCTTCCACACATAAACAACAACAGCGCAGAGAAGGAGTGGGGAGACGGTATAAGAGGACTGTCTCTTAGTGCTGCACGATACGCCCTGTTGAGACTAGAGGTCGGACCCCCGCACACCAAGAACTGGAGGTACAGCTACCCCTACATGGGATACTTTGAATCTCCCAAAAACTTCCATAGAAACTCCTTTTGAATGCATCTTTAAGGAGCCACATTGCATGTTGGGATGTAAAAGTTTTCACATCTGTTTTCATTTACTATGAATGAAGCAATATTAAACATGCCACACTGACACTCTTCTGAAAACATTTTATTTTTATTAAAAAAAAAATTGGATCAGAGAGAAGCTGCAGGTTTTTTTCAAAATCCTGTCAAAGGCATTTCAGAAACACATGACACCCAGATGGACAAATGTAATAAATAGTAGATTCTGTACTTTCTATAAAAATGGCCCTCCAGAATGATGATAATGCCACACAAAATAAGCAACATATGAGAGATTTACTACCAGCTGTTATCCATACTGACACACAATGAGAAGGCACCATCTGTCAAGAATGTATTTTAAAAAGTTTTGAGAAGTTGTGGCCTGAGGAAGAGTTTCATTTCTTTAGTTTGTAGCATGCTTGCTACACATTTCCAGTGAGTTAATGCATCACTTTGTGCTGTAATCACTCTGATGCTGCACTTCCTCCTTCACCACCCACTCTGAATACAGTGACAGTGACACAATGGCTGGTTTTGATAGTTTCAGTTCTGAAAAATGTAATCTTGGCAAATACCAAGTCCGGTAAGCACAGACTACATTATTCAGAGGTTGAAAAATGTTTAGACATCTCGGTTAAAACTGGGATAATTTGGTAGACAAGTGAGAGATATTTCAGATGTTTAGGTCACATATAAAAATGCTGTCTCAACTTTATTTCAACATGTAGTTAGGACCTGATTCACAGTAATGTAACAGTATTATATTGAAAAAGTCAAATTTCCATGTTATTTTATTGAATTATGAAGCAGGTATAATCTCTATATAAATATTGTGAAAGTATGAGAATGTTCAGTGCACACCGTCCTTTTTCAAGAAACTGTGCCTTTAAACAAGCCGTCAGGTCTTGTGTGAAATTGTGATGTCACAACCATACAGACTGTTTCAGACTTAACCATAAAAATTCAAATGAGTTCCTCTGTATCTCCTGTTGGAGTGATACAATTCCAGTTAAACAGTCTACAGATATAGAAAATGCCGCTACAGTTCTGCAACAGTCATTCCCCCAGCTGCGATGATGGTGCACAAATGCTGAGAGCACAGATGTGGAAGACAGGCAGTAAAACGGAGCGTCTCAGACAGAGGGTGAATACAGGTTTTCCAGCACAGACAGTATGAGGACAATTAAGTGTTTTTTGACCATAAAAGTATGTAAACATGTCCTAGAAGAGACCCACAACACAGGTATGAAACTGAAAATGAGCACAATATGGGAACTTTAAATGCTGAAGATGCAATGGTTATATTTATCGTAGATGTCTAAACAAACTTTAAAATTTCAACCAAATTTATTCCTGTTTTAAGCTAGACATCTTGATGTCTTTTGACCAAGTGGCAAAAAAGGAAGCCTATGTGGAAGTGCCAAAAACTCCAGTTTATCAAATGGCCCCTTAAGGCTAGCTCCAAAACAGAGTAAATCCCCACAGAACCCCCATGTTAAAATGCTTTATAGCAGAAATAAATGTGTTTACTGGAACAAAAAAACAGTTTTGGTCTCTATATCTAATATCAACATTTATGACAGCTATACAGTCGGTGATTTTTTTTATATAACTTACCCGTTCACATTTTATTAAGGCTCAAAGTTACGCATATTTAAGGGCAGGGCCGCTGAGTGACAGGCTATCTGTGAGGTGTCACTACAGTCTATGAGTCAAATCCACCTCTCGATCCTCCAACCTTTCGTCCAAATATGGTCACTTCTGGCTCCAGAAAACACAAGATGGGTATGATGAACTTGAGGCTTCAAAATGGCAGTCCACAAACCAATGTGTGACGTCATGGAAGCTACGTCCAATATTTATACAGTCTATGGTTTCAACATGCAAATCGCAAAATACCAGCTTGACACTGGTACTTAAAATGTCCAATTTTGTCAAAATCCAATTAGCAATCTCTACCATCCTTTTCCTGATGATCTTGTTTTAACAGATAGCATTAGCTTATGTCTGTGTTTTCTATACAAGTGCATCCAGTGTAAATAACATTTTTTAAACCCCTTTGTGACAATAGCAAGTGTAAAGACCAGCTTTGACCCAGGCCTTTGTCTGATATTGACTGTCTTTAACTCTGTGCACTACAGACCTCAGCTGCTTGTGCTGTTGAAGCTGGACGAGGACCTCCATGTAAAATATCCCCGACTGCTCACCTTTGCTTCACAGCTGAAGGCAGGAAAGGGTCTGACCATCGTGGGCTCCATCATCCAGGGCAACTTCCTTGACAGCTATGGGGAAATGCAGGCAGCTGAGCAGGTAAATACTAGAAAGGGGTGTATGTATGCTGCACATGCTCCATACAATTCTCCATTGTACTCTGCTGCTGACTGCGTTGCAACTAATTGTTACAAATGTCCACCTTTTGTAATTTGAAAAGCACAGTGAAGCGAAAACATGCTCCGATATGAATTTTCAATTTTTGTGACATTTCTTCCTCAGCAACTGTTTTTGAAGCATTTGTCACTTTAATTAAGGGGCATGGCTGGAAACAGCTTGTTGTTGTCACTACAATATGGTGCCAATGAGCCATTTCAGATAGAATAAGGGGCTGGTGCAGAAACATTTTTCATAATGTGATGTGTTTGGTAAAAAATTAAACAAGTGAAACAAAGTTTGTTCATTTTTGGTGTGACAACAACTGGAGAAATTAATCACACATCCTTGAGTCACTCAGTGCTAAGCTTATATTCATCTATCAAGAGTTATCATAGAGCTTGCGCTATACAGGGAGGTGGTGAAGGTGGTGCTATATAAACCATTTTTATGTCAATTGAAGGCATGCACTATAATCCTTGCAGACATACAAACTTTTTAATTTTTTTTCTTTTTCATTTGCTTTTAAGGCATTATGCATTTATGGATTATAACTGTTTAAATGGCTTATCTGCTCACTCCTTATAGTGATCATGCACTAAAGTTCTGTTTGCCCACTTTTTTTTCTGCCAGGCCATTAAGAATATGATGGAGATTGAGCGAGTCAAGGGTTTCTGCCAGGTCGTGGTGGCATCTAAGGTGCGGGAGGGTATTGTCCATCTGATTCAGTCTTGTGGCTTGGGGGGCATGAAGCACAACACTGTGGTGATGGGCTGGCCGTACGGCTGGAGACAGAGTGAGGACCCTCGTGCCTGGAAGACTTTTATCAGTAAGAGTCTCACTGAAACACTGTTCATTCAACTTGACACTTAAAAGGCCATTTCAGCACCGAAAAGTTCATATGATCAAATACATTCTGTTAGTTTCCATCTGGCTTGTAAATTATGTAAACTGTTACTAAATGAATTTATACAGTACAGTTAATAACCATGTCTCCGTGTTTTCATCTCCACTCAGACACAGTCCGCTGCACCACAGCTGCCCACCTGGCCCTGATGGTGCCCAAAAATGTGTCCTTCTATCCGAGCAACCATGAGCGCTTCACAGATGGCAACATTGACGTTTGGTGGATCGTCCATGATGGGGGGATGCTAATGCTGCTGCCTTTCCTGCTCAAACTGCATAAAGTGAGATGACACATACCATACCATATAATATATGGATAATTTCATAAAAACAAACTGAAATTGTTATCATTCCAAACCAATATGCTCGCCCCGAATCGTCTTTGTTGGTTTAAGTTTGATGTTATTTTAGGCTTTCCCCTTAGAAGCCCTTTTATTTTGAAGTATGTTTTCTGTAAGCAATTACAGTCACATTCAATAACGCACATTGTATTACACTCGTGGAAATAGCACGTTTATATTTACATTATAGGTTTGGAGGAAATGCCAGATGCGCATCTTCACTGTAGCCCAGATGGACGACAACAGTATCCAGATGAAGAAAGATCTGGCCACGTTCCTTTACCAGCTGAGAATAGAGGCTGAGGTGGAGGTGGTGGAGATGGTGAGGACCCCGCAACTTTCAACTTTATTAGTCCCGAAAGGGCAACTGGTTGCACAACCACTAGAGCAAAAGTGAAGACTTACGTAAGACTCTTTATGTCTAGGACCACCTCAGAGCAAATTTCACACAGTCGTAAAAATTACAACTGCAACCAGATGCCCATACAAGATGCCACAAACATGTTTGTTTCAAAGAAAATTGTAGTGTTAAAGAAAACAAACACATTGCTTGACTTGAACATGAATCATTGAACTTTTATGGTCATTTTCAACAGACAAATGTGTCAGAAGGATTAACCACTAAAACAGTGTTTTTCAAATGGTACTTTAGCATGACAGTGACATCTCAGCATACACCTATGAGCGAACCCTAATGATGGAGCAGAGGTCCCAGATGTTGAGGCAAATGAGGCTTTCCAGTGCAGAAAGACAAAGAGAGGTATGCTTTTTGTTTGTCATGTTTTGTATATAGGGATGCAATTTGGGAATTTAACCTGCTCAATCTTAACTCTGATGGCTGCTATGAGTTATTGTGTTAGTTACATACAGTATATCGACAACCCAGCCTCATGATAATCCCACGGCACTTGCAGGCCCAGCTGGTGAAGGACAGACACTCTTTGGTGCGTATGGGAAGTCTATACTCAGATGAAGAGGAGGAGGTGGTGGAAGCTCCTCCGGAGAAGGTTCAGATGACATGGACAAAGGAGAAGTGTGAGGCTGAGAGGAGGAACCGAAACAATGCACCTGAGAACTTCAGAGAGCTCATGAGCCTCAAACCGTGAGTGGTGTTCAGTTATCTTAGCATTTTCTTTGCCACCTCTCATTTAACCTTTTAATGCAGAGCCTGTCACCTTATTTCTCCTTTTCTTCTTGTTGTTTGTTTGACAAAGTGAGAAAGTACTTTGAAATCGTAAAATCTATTTCACTCTCCGTCCCTCCCCCTCTCTGCACTCCAGGGACCAGTCCAATGTGCGGCGGATGCATACAGCTGTGAAGCTAAATGAGGTAATAGTCAACAGGTCCCATGATGCTCGATTAGTTCTGCTCAACATGCCAGGACCACCTCGAAACACAGACGGAGATGAGAATTGTATCCTTTGCCAGTGTGGTCAAACAAAATGGCTCTTGCATAACTGTGTAGAAGATTTTAGGCTGCAGTACACATACAAGATGTGGGTGGTTTTATTTCTTTAACGTCTGCCTCAGATATGGAGTTTCTGGAAGTGTTGACTGAAGGCTTGGAAAGAGTGCTGCTGGTCCGAGGCGGAGGTCGGGAGGTTATCACCATCTACTCATGATCAATTATTAGCTGCTTCGCAGGAGCACCTGTCTCATCAGAATACATTCCACCTCTGGACAGGAGGCAGCACCTGCTCCGCTGCCAGGTCTGGGTAGACGCATGAATTTGACACTTGTATTGTGAAGTATGGATTTTTCAGTACAAAGGAGGTTTATTCTATTCTTGTAGAATATTGAGACACACTAGTGTACATATCCGCCTGTATGTTCACGACTCTCCCGTTCTTTACAAATGAAAGCTGTTATTTTTCTCCCTCAGAAATCAATATTTGTGTGTCAAACACAAACTCTTGACAGCATTTTCTTATTTATAGGTCACAAATACCTCTTCATGTGTGATTATAAACCTGTATTTGACAATTTGGCAGACTATCCTGAGTACTACACATGTTGGTAGAACACTTTTATAGTATGCCAGATTTTTATACTGAAACAGCTCTTTGATGATTTTGGAAGCACATCTCTATTTATTTATTTATTTTTTCAACATTTCCCCACTGAGGCAAAGAAAATGTTATTGTGGATCTTAAACACAGTGCTCGACGTTGGTTGTGCTGTAAAGGTGGCATGCCAGAGATCATAAAGCAAGTTTTTAAAGAGAGTTTTAATTTATGATTTTTTGGACAGATATTTGTGTTACTGAACAATGTATATGAATGACTTTTGAAGTGTTACATTTGTACTTTTTCTACAGACCTTAAAAGCTTAGCTGCCCGCAAAAAAAGGAGGCTTAATTTAAATGTATAATCCTTAAGATTTCAATGAAATCAAAACCATCTTTTAATACTTTATATGGTCTACGTATTTTCTGCAAAAACCATTCAATATATGCACACTGAATGGCTATTGTTAATACCTTTCTATATGTTTGTGGCGGAGTCCGCCATTCCCGCACTGGATCAAAATTGGCTTACTTCACACACTGACAACATGAGTTTGTTTGGTTGTGCTGGAAACAAATGCACCAGCTTGTATATTGTCGATTTTCTGAAGAAGTAGCTGCTCATGAAATGTTTGCTATAGTATTAAACAGCACTTGCTGTTACCATGGTAACCACAGGTGTTGCCAAATCAGCCCAGACTGAAATGTTAAGGATTTCAACTTCAAGCAATTCTGATCTTAGCCACATGCAACTTTCAGATCCTGTTTTGTGTCTTTCTTTTTCTAAGAAGATCAGTATGATCAGTATGATCAGGCCAGCAAATAGTTCAGAGAACAAATGTTTATTTTTCTGTAGCCTAAACAAGCTGTTCAAGCCAAGAGAGGTTTATGTGTTAGGGATAAACCATGACAAGGTGTGCAGTTACTAAAAACTAATCACACAACGCTAAGAATGCTCCTGAGGGCTGTACCACGAGCCAGAGCCAGAGTTTTCCATTCTTGGGGGTGGCTCTCTTTTAACCTGGCTAGATCGCCATGGTAACTACAGAACTAACCTGGTCGGGACCAGTTTCGGCTTAAAATCAGTTTAGCGCCTTTCACAGCTTCTTTGATTGGGGTCAATCTATAATCAATGTGAGTATGTGAGCAACACAGATTGTCAGCTGAGGGACTTTGTTATAAATGCACTTTATCCAACTTGTTGAGCCGTAATATTACATAAGTGCCACCCAATGAAGCTGTGCAATTACAGTAGCACTTACTGTATGCATAGTGTCACGTTTTTGTTTTTTTTTTGTTTTTTTTTACAGGAGAACCTACAGTATACCAGTGAGGCAGAAAATATGAGCAAGAATGTTATTTTTTTTTTTTTTTTTTCATGTGGTTGCTCTTACTGAACTACTGAATGTGTTTATAGTGTTCACTGGTCTATTTGCCCAAGCTGACTCTAAAAGAAGCCTTCCATAAAGCATATTTAATAAGGATGATGTTTACCTGCATATGAAATGCGGTATAATTCCCTAAAATCATACCATTATGTTACCATTTTGGATTATATTTATATGATTAGTTCTGATTTGCTGTTTACACTGCTGGTATATTACAGCTAATAGAACGCCAGTTAAATTCAGATTAAATTGATTAGTCTATTGGTATTTATCACAGATAATATTCCATCCATCCATCCATCCATCCATTTTCATAACTGCTTATCCTCTTGAGGGTCGCAGGGGGGTGGAGCCTATCCCAGCTGACATTGGACAAGAGGCGGGGTACTCCCTGGACAGGTCGCCAGACTATCACAGGGCTGACACATAGACACAGACAACCATTCACACTCACAATCACACCTAGGGACAATTTAGAGTCACCAATTAACCTATCCCCAACCCCCATGTCTTTGGATTGTGGGAGGAAGCTGGAGTACCCGGAGAAAACCCACACTGACATGGGGAGAACATGCAAACTGGGATTGAATCAGGAACCCTCTTGCTGTGAGGCGACAGTGCTAACCACCAGATAATATTCAATCAGTAAAATTAATTTCACATTAATTTGTCCAAAAACTAAAATAGTTTACACTTGTCCTTCATTATGGGGCAGTGTCAGCCCTAAATGTAGTTCTTGAGCACAATATTTTAATCGGCTGCATCAAGTTCAAACTTTCAGAGCTGCAGATATGCAGGTGTCACGTTAGAAATAAAGAATGGCCCAATAAATAAGCTACATAAACTTGAAGCCTGCCTTTCTCAGCATAACTGTAGCAACAGTGTTGCTTTTTACTGTAACAATTTTTAATATTTAAAGGCGGAAGTAGGCGGTATGGGATTGATTGTTATTAAGTTTCAAATGACGTGGTGAATGTGTCATTTGACTTGTTTTATAGGAAAATGCACAGAGCCTGAACCTGGTAGAGTTGATAGTTGATAACCACCTTTGTGATAGCTCTGTTGAACATGCTTCATGGTACAGCCCTCACGTCTTCCCTTCACTTAAGTTAAAGCAGAACAGCACAAGTTGGAGTGGATTATCCCCCTTAAACCATTGTCACTTGCCAGCAATCCAAATACATTTTTTAAATTTAAAATGTTGGGCACAATACACTCTTTAAATGGAAACTTTATACTGGCAGTATTTTCATAAAGCCATGAGTAATTTTTTAAAGAGCGATGAGGCTACGATGTCAATGTGGCTATGTGAAAATCATGCACATGGTGTAGAAGTTAATTAAACTATCAATTATGTTGGCAATATATGAATATGAAGTTTTCACACTGTTGCTTTGAAAAACTGCTGTTCTAAGTTTAAGATTTTGTTTTGGTTATTTTCATGTGAAACAGTTTTCTGTTTGGCCAAAGGGCAGAATAGCTCACAATAAAATACACACTATTGTTTTGTAAACCTCCATAATATCTTATTATGCTGTAAGATCAAATAAAAAGAACATCTGTTTATAAACTGCTCCAACAGTACTATTTTGTTGAAGTGCTTTATAGGATTTCTGAAAGTAATATTTTGTAATGAATGAACAGTGTGGTATTAATATGATGATAATGCAGCACTGAACATTTAACCGCACTGTGACTGAACTGTTTACCTGAGCCATCCTCATCCTTGTGACCTCACCTCCAGCTCACTTGTCAAACAAAAGATTAAAAATAAATCCCTCATGAACAAAAACAAAAAATACAGATTTCAAACAACTTAAAGTGCTGTCTCTGCAGTTTTATTGATCTTTGTCATGATTCTTCTTCATGTCATAAGTTTTGGTAGAGATGATGTCAGCACATGTACAACAAATTCAGCATAATATTTAATAAATAAATTCCCCAAAATAAATGGTAAAGTGCCTTTCAGAGGACTGATGTGTGCGTTTTAATGTATATGTAAAGCATAATGTGTATACAGAGGCTGACATTTAAATGACCTCCCAAATGGGGCTACACATTGAATATTCTTTTAATTATATAGTTTAATTTTTGGTGGTAAGAAAGTGAAAGTGAAAGTGTCCCCTTATCTTTACTGACCTGTGGGGTGCTGGGATGACCCATAAGCAATCTCATGAAGCCCTTCTTATTTATTTAAGAAAATACGCACTTTAAAAAGGTGTAGCTAAAGTTTCAAAATATTCATTCAATCATAAATAGGCTGGAAAGCAGCAGAACTAAGGCCAGGATTAACAGACCTTTTGGTCCATGTTGGGCACTGGAGGAGGGGCTCCTGTCAGTGGGCCCTTTTGGGTCAGGACGTTTGAGGATCAGCCTGCAGGAGTTCTGCGCCTCCTCCATGGGGATCTGGACCTCACTGGGCCGGTTCAAACTCAACTGATCCCGGACCTGGTGGAAATACAGTGAGAGAAGGGAGAGAGGTTCAGCTTCAACTTTTGAACTAATCTGTGCCTTGGATTTACTTGGGAATATTTATAAACTTGCAATGCAAAGAAAGCATTTTATAGATAATATCTTTAAATTAAGTCTTACAACTTACTCAATCTGAAAATGTTATTTTTGATAAAAGAGTTTAAAAAATGGGAACAATGAGATAAGGAGGTTAGTGTCCATTTGTGTCAGGACAGGCCTTTCGTTTTAGGGAAAAAAAAAAAAAAAGTATATGAAGTCACTAATGACATAGGACATACTGAGGACATTTTCTACCAAACACACAGCCTTTATCCTTCAGTATAGCTAAATCACTCCTTTGGCCAAGGTATGGAGTGAAAAGGTGCCTTTCAATTACTTACCCACCCTTAATTTCTCAGAAAAGGCTGTTCTTTAGACATAAAATATATTAATCATCTAGCTCACCCTTTCCACCTCCTCAAACACTCGCAGGAAGTTATTTCGAAGGACACTGGCCAACTCATTCTCCGTCCAGTTCCTTCGGAGGAGTTCCTGGATTAGGGCGGGATACTTTGACACATCCTCTAATCCCTGAGGAAAGCTGTGGAAGAAATACACATTTCAGTTCATGGATATTTGTTTTGCAAAAGAAAGTCCTTCAATCCAGTCCTTCAGTATCATTTGTTTCGTGTTGTCCCTGCTTGAGGTAAATTGTGTGGGTATGCAGGGGGGGAACTGATTCAGTGCCAACCATTCTGCAGCACAGTTATTGATTTTTTTTTTAACATTTTTCAGCCTGTTGACAGCCGAGACAGCCAAATTGCTGATATCATGACAGGCTGACAAAAGCACAAAATTGATCTGTGGAGTGCCAGACAGGTATGTAGCCTTCTGGCATGAGCTTTGTTTTATTTTGTTTTCTATGTGTGCAAGTTGTGTCACTGAAGATCCCCACTTATCAAAGGATAGAAGACATGTAGATTTAGTGTCCTTCATCAAAGTGCTTGTATCTATATGTTGTGTTTGCATGTGAATATTACCTGGAAGCACCGTCAAAGTCCCCTCCGATTCCTATTGACTCAGCTCCAATCACTTTCTTAATGTGATCAAAATGGTCTGTAAAACCCAGAGGAAATCATAAATCAACTGAGGTATAAGAAACACAAACTACAGGGGTCATATTAACAAAGCTAATTGACCGGTTTTTACAACAATGACCGGAAAATCTGAAGGCCGTCCGTCATTTTGACCGGTTGCAATTACCACCCCTGCCCACTTGGCGGCGGAGTGCACAGTCAGTGGTTTAAGTGGCTGCCGTTTTCACACTGCAGAGAAAAAGTCATTCATCTGCTTCATGTAGCGTTGCTGACATAACGGCCTGGACACACCGGACGCGTTAGCAGAGATACTGGATGAAGGGAGATGCCCAACTGTAGGCTTATCCAATGTTAAAAAAACAGTTACTCTTCCTGTCTCCTAAGTGGGCGTGGCTAGCTCTCCCTCCAATCAGAGCCTGTTCTCCCTCAACCCCCCCCACCACCGTGTTGAACAGAGGCTCTGTGGATGTCTGTGTATGCGGATCGAGAAGCAGGTGGAATGAAAATACATTCTTCCTATTATTGCAGCCTATTGTTGCACAAAGCTTGGGCATTTTTTATTTTTTACTAGCGGTAAATAACTGTTTGTAAGCTAACTGTGATTTTACCGCCTGTTTATCAAGATCACGAGATCTCGCGAGAACTTGTTTTCTGAGATGGACAGGGCTCAAATAAAGTTAACTTTCTCTTGATCTGTGCAGATGAAAAATGCAGCTTTAGTGTCAGAATGTTGGTAAGATGTGTGGCTTGTGGAAAATGAACCCAATATTTACTTTAGTGACTACAGGGCTAAAGAATTGACCATAAATTGTGATCACGTTCATTTTCCTCATTGACGACAACACATTCTGAGCTGCCTCAAGTCTCCTACGGGGGCGTGGCGCTGACGTCACTGAATCAGGAAGTGAGCTGAGTTGGGTATGTCGCTTCATCCAATATCTCTGGCGTTAGTGCCGCGGAAGTCCTGCAAGTGTACTCGCAGGCGCTTGGCTGTCCACACCACAGGCAGCGCATTTCTCATTTATGTAGTTATGCCTGTAGGCTCTGTGACACAAAATTAAAATTGCAATGAAGTGATTATGGTATTGAAAAATGTGTTCGGTTATGCACTGTTGTGTTATTTTAAATTAAAAACATGGTATTTTCTCCTCACGTTCCTCACTCAGTGCGAGCTGTTATTTTATTTTGAAAATTGGCCAGATTCTCTCGTCTTTCCTGTGTCCAACTTCCTGTTTGGTACGATCCGCTCTATCCAGCTTGACAGAAGCGCTCGCGGCACGGGCGTGTGGATGTCTGTTCTTTTTGTTCATGTCCTTATTAATGCACACTTTATAACTTGCTTATTGGATTTATTAAAAACGAAGGAATGAAAACTAAATGTCTTTGAATGTCTTTATCATTTAAAAACGAAAATTAAAATGACCGGTAAAAATAGATTATGACCGGATTTTTACGACCCTGTCGGTCAAAATGACCGGCGACAAAAAAGTCTAGCACAACCTCTGCTGCCTACCATGTAACAAATTACTCAGTGAATGAATCACTACGTGAACGACATAATCCTGATCCCTGAGTGATTCAAATCATTTCTTCTCAGCGATACCCTTTCATAGGGACCATTTTCTCCAAGCTAACGACTAATGTAGCCAGGAGTCAAGCCACATGAACACAATCACACACCTCCCTATTGTTTTAACAGACTTAGTTTCCAGATAAACAAACTTAAAACATTAGGCTGGCCAGTAATGAGACTCACCAGTGCAGGACAGACGCAGCAGCAGCAATGGAGAGAGACTAAGCCGGACTACACAGTAC